TGACTTCCCCTGCCCGAGTATTTCCAGGGCCCCAGGCCTTTCTGCCTGCCTGCCACTCCCTCTGGGGGATGGTGCTAAACACACCTGCCCCTCCTGAGTCCCACTCCACGCCCCCACCAGCCATAGCCAAGCTAGTCTATCCTTAGTTCCCTCCACACTGTGCCTGCCAGTAGTGCCGCCTACCCCAGGGGTCGGTGACTATGCCAGGGCAGTCTTCCCCCTGGACCAGCGCCTCCTCCAGGCCAGTACTGTCTCCACAGCGCTGAATCCTGACCCTGCCCTCATTCACATGCTTCTCCAAGTCTTAGTTTCTCCCCCTACAAACCACAGGTGACCCCAGTACTATCACCCACGCCTGCTGGGGGGTTAAGTGCATCCCAGTTTACAAATGGGGGATGATGGGGCACCAACCATCACTGGATGAGACCCCAGGTGAGCGTACTCCCTGCAGAAAGATCCTTCTCCACCTCCAAGAAATGTAAACTGCGACTGCTGGGTTAAAGCTTGCTCTAGTCCAACACTCCACAAACCAAGAACAGAGGACCAGGTCTGCGAGGGATGCAGCCCGCACACCTGAACAAGATGAAAGGTAAAGAGGAACAGGAAGTGTTCACATGCTCTCAAGAAGATCGCCATACAAACAGGACAAAAAGCTGTTCGAAAAGTTATCAAAGAAATGGGCTTTGATCACGCGTGAGTCAGAGGAAAGTGGATTAGCCCCTCTCATCTCTCCATCTCCCTGGAAGGCGTAGTCGGAGAGCTTCAAGCAGCCGGAAATTGCCGTTCAGAGACACACGATTCCACAGTGATCACTCACCAATGCACCAAGTTTTCCTGTTTTCGTGTTTTTGGAAAAATCAAAAATCTGACTTTTCAGTTCTTCGTGACTCTCCTCATTTTCACATGGTGGTTATTTTTAAACATTTTATCTGCCAATAATTTATTAGAACAAAATGTTTAAAATATATTTCTACTAGATTCCTGTTTTGCTTGAGGCTTTCTATTACTAAATATATTTTAAATATATTTATTTCACTGATTTTTCTTTCATTTTGTGAATTCCAGATTTTTAAAAACAAAATATACTTATATTGGTATTTCAACATCAGGCAAAATGATGACCAAAAATACTGGCATTGTTCACTTTCTCCAACATTACCATTACTAGTGATAACTCCTCTGGCCTCCAGTTTACTGATAACAAATTCAGACGCAGAGAAGTCAAGTGCTTCACCCAAGGCCACACAGTATGTGGGCAGCGCAACAGGAGAGGACCGGTCTACGGACGTCCAGCGCCTCTGCTTGTACCTGCTTTACTCTAAGGCCTGGTGGAAAGCCTTGTCCTCAAATACTAACTGCCATCAATCTCGCCACACCGCCAGGTCCTTCTTGAGCACTTCGCTGACAGTAACTCATTTATCGTAACATAACCCTGCGAAGCAGGAACTAATGTCATCCCTGTTTACGGATGAGGAAACTGAGGCACAGAAAGGTTTGTAGAATCCAGCTAATCTGACTGCAAAATCACGGCTCCTCCCCAATCGCCAGGCTGCTGGGGAGCAGCTGAGCCCACCCAGACTTACCCACTTCACAAAGCCGTCCACAGACACTGGGTCTTGCTCAACTGTCACCAGCACCAACGAGAAGCTGGCTCTATCATTCCACGGAGCAGGTGAAGAACCCAGAGCACAAAACTAAGAGCCTCGCTCAGGAGCCCAAGTGGCAGATGCCGGTCAGAAGCCCAGGTCTGCCTGGCTCCAGAGCCTACCCTGCCTTCGAGAACAGTATGGGGTGCAGGTCGGGGGTTGACAGGCCACCAGGTAAAGAAGCCCACACACGTCCAAACTCTTACGGCTTTATTATTTGAATGATCTCCAAAAACACATTTCTCGGACCTGCGTCTGGAACAGAGAGCAGAGGCAGTGAGGTGGAATAGGGTGGCTCCCTCCTCCAGGCCAGGCGGGACTCTTCCCTCCAAGGGCAGAGAGGAGGGCACGAGGGAAGTTCAAGGATATGGCAGTAGAGAGGCGAGAGGTGACGGCGACACTCCTGCGGTGGGACGCGCGGGAGGCAGTGGGCTCACTTGAGGCGGTAGAGAACTTTGCGCTGCATGCGATGCTGGACCTCGCCCCGCCGCAGCATGAGCTGCAGGACCTTGTGAATGGCGTGCTCTGGGTATTTCTGCAGACACAAGCCCAGATGCAGGAGCATGCCTCCCAAAGAGACCCCAGAACACCCACCAAGCCCCACTTGGCCCTGCAGAGCCCCCAAGAGAAACCACACGTCCCCCATTCACAGGGAACTGTCCGTCACACGTCTCCTTTGATCGTAAGGAGGGCTCACACTTCCTGAGTGCCCACCAAGTGCCAGGCATTGTTCAAAGCCTTCGCATACACCAGCTAATCCCATCCCCACAACCACCCTATGCAGCTGGTACTGGGATCATTCTCACTTTACAGGAGAGGAAACTGAGGCGTGTAGAGGCTGTCACTTGCTCAGTCACACAGCAAGCAAGTGGTAGAGCCAGGACTTAAATCAAGTCCATCTGACTCTAGTACCCAAGCTCTTGACATCCCCAAACCTCTCAGCCTCAGTCTGCTCGCCTATAGAATAGGTATGGTACCACCTACTGCCTAAAACTACTCTAAGGATCAAAATCAGATGATGTACACGAAAAGGGAGCCGAGACCAGAAACTAGGATTGTTCCTGAGATTTTAAAGATGATGACAAGTTCTCCATAGCATCCAGAAGGCCAGTTCCTCTCTATGGGGTCAAGAGCACTGTCCCCAGTGAGCTGGGAAACTCACCTTTCTGGCTGTCCCTCCCCCACCCCACAAAAGCCAGGCAATGGGAGGAAGGGGTAAATGGGAAGGGCTGGGGGAAAGCCTGGGTGTGGTTCCATGAGAACCTGTCCCCTCCCCCTCATGGGATAGGGAAAGTACCCCTGCCCCAGACTGAAGCTGTCCCAAGGGAAGATGGAACAGGTCTAAGATGAGGAACAGCTGCCCCGCAGCCTGTCTGCTGAGCAACCAGACACTGGTTGCTAGGTGGAAGGGCAGCCACCAGGACACCCCCTGCATCTTTCCTACCTCCACCCAGCCCCCAGGAAGGCCCACCTGCTTGGTGAAGTCCTGGATGATGCTGTGCTCTGACACCTGGGAGCCAATGGCAAAACGGCGCTTGAGCTGCTTCTCGATGCGGCTCAGCATCTCCTGGTCCTCCTGGCTGGTGAAGCCCTCCACCCCTGTGGGCACGAGGAGGGAGATGGGTGAGCAGAGGCTTGGAGACGGAGGCCTCTAACCCAAGCAGGGTGGCCGGAGCCAGGCCCAGAAGGCAAAATTAGAGAAA